GAATAGAATAGAATAGAATAGAATAGAATAGAATAGAATAGAATAGAATAGAATAGAATAGAATAGAATAGAATACTTTATTGGCCAAGTGTGATTGGACACACAAGGAATTTGTCTTGGTGTAAATACTCTCAGTATACATAAAGAAAAGATACATTCGTTAAGAATCAAGAATTATAACGTAGTGAATTGCAGATAATAATAAGGAATAAAGAAACCATTAGAGAGCATTTCATCGAGGCAGCCATCGTCGGCGCCATCTTGGCTGAACTGTATATAAACCACACAATAACGATAAGATTACAGTCTTGTGAGATCACATTACTAGCTCACCAGGGCTGCATGTTGCCTGTGGGCTGCAGGTTGGACACGCCTGATCTAAACATTGTAATAATGATATTCTTCAGTGTATCTCTTTCCAATGTCTCCCTCTTTTCTCTATAAAAGCAGTTATGAGTTATGAGATACTCAACCTAGATCTGATCTACACGGAGAAGAGATCTTAAGATTTTTCTTTCTATCACTAGTTAACAGTTACTGGGAAGCAAAACCAGAAGGAAGCTGCTGCATTCTTTTTTATGCGACTGTATGACTATGCCACTCTGGGACTACAACCCTGGCCTAAAACAATTCTTCTGATACTCTGAATAGTATCAAAGGCACTTTTTGTTATCTTTTTAATAACAAAAACAAGTCTGATGTGTTCTATCAAATCCTAGGAATCCATAGGAAGCCCTGGGCCAAAAGAGAAAACAAATAACTTTGCTTTATTTGAATGGTACATGCAAAATCACAATGCACAGGGCAGTAACTTAGAACAGATTAAGTGGAGGCAAGGTAGAGATAGGCAACAAAGATAGTAAATTTTATGTCACTGTAATTTCAGATAAATGGCTCTTTGGGTAGCTAGAAAGGCAATTTCTCTATTTCCGTAGAGCAGGATTGTAGGAGAATATAAAAAGAATATAGAATATAGAAACAACATGGCTTAACCAGTTTTCATGTTTAAAGAAACTATGTCTACTTAGCAAATGTTTGGGAAGCACACTGATTTGTACTGAAGATTACTTAATACAAGTACCATATCTGAGAAGGTGATCTACCTGTATTATTTCCTTCCCTTCAGGTACAACCTTTTCTAATAGCAACAGCTTGGGGAGAATTCCCCCATTACCAACAAAGGGGTGCTGGGCACTGTGGGAAATGTTAATAGGATGAGCAGCTTTCCAGAGTGAATTAGAGTCAGGAGAATACAGGACAACAGTTCCTGAAAGCAGACTGAGACCTTGCAAAAATGTTCCATAGAAACTGTCTGGGATTTTGATAAAGGACTTCTGTGATATCAATAGCAGAATGCAAAATAGTGAGATACCTTAGGCTATTCCAATTCCTTTTATTGGCTATTCCAATAAAAATATGTTGGGTAACCTTGATGGAACATTACCTTTAATTGGCATACTTGGAGAATTTTAAAGCTACAGATCCAGTTTGGATTGCTGCAAAGCCATTATTATCTTCCCCAGCCCACCTTCCCTTCGCAATTACCGTTCAAAGCGAATAACTTTGGCCAACAGATACTGCAGCGTTGGGCTATATTGGCGGAAACTTTCTAAAAGCTGTAAGCGGTTGCGCAAGTGCTTTATTTCTGATTCAGTCCTCCATGTTGGCGGCTTCTTAGTTATTTGGATTGCTCTAAAAGGGAAATGTTCCTGAAGGCAATATCAAATACATTTTAAAATAAATATTCACAGGGGCAGCAGTAAAAGATGGTATTGTCGTTCTCTCAGGCATCATTAGTCCTCTCTTGCTCTCTTTCTTTTGCCTCCCTTTAAAAGATGTAACTTTTTTATTTTTTTTATTTAATTTGATTTGTCAATCACTTACAAGATAATAGGTATAAGAATAAACATAGTTATGAATACATGAAATTGATACATATAAAAAAATAAAAGAAACAATAGGACAGGGATGGTAGGCACTTTGGTGCGCTTATGCACACCCCCTACAGACCTCTTAGGAAAGGGGTGAGGTCAATACTTCAAAGTTCTATTATTGTTTGCTAGTTTAATCAGAATTTTATCAGGTCTCCTTGTGATTATTTCTCAGTTCCATGGAGAATTGTGTGGTTTCCACCTTCACAAAATAGCAATAAAATTCCATTGCAATGATGGACACTGGATGAACTTTGACCTCAGAATTTCTACAGCTTTACTAGTCCACCCAAGCCCTTCCCATCCCAGTCAGTAAAAAGGCTATGTAACAAGCCTAAGTTAATGCAAAAAATGTGAAGTAATGAAAGTAATGATAGGGGCATTGCTTTCAGGGAAAAGCTTGTGTAATGTTGAGGCATTCTTACAACTGAGAAGGAAGACGGCTGTGGAAGTAATAAGCAGAGCATCAAGCAAGAGAGAGAGGACATTAAAGTGGATTTGGGTCTATTATATCTTTAAAAGGGGTGGGTCTTGATCATGCAGTAACAGTCACAAAGGCCATTTTGACACCCTCCCCCACCTGCAGATGCTCTTGGAAATAAGATCCCCTCAGATACTCCCATGTTTCAGCTATACTGCTTACTGTTTGTGTTTAATTTTTAACAAAGTATGCAGGAATGGCTCAGATGACTGTGAATTTGATTTCAGTTCAGCAATTATGTAAATCTTCCCTCCTGGTCTTTTGTTATGCAGCTACTGGACCATAATTCCAACATTTTTCAGCCCACTAAAGAGTTGTAGCGAAGATAATACCGCTACCAATCAATCCAAGGATTGAGGAAGACAACCTTTAGTCCCCATGTTCAGTCATACTGAAGTTTATCTACTTCAATATATTCCACTCACTCTTTTGCACACCTTTCCTCCCTCAAGCATCTCACACTCTCCTCCAGTCAAGCTCAAATATTAAATCCACTGCAGCAGACACACACAAGTTTTTGCAACTGTGATTCTGTAAAGCAGGACTAAATAACAATAACCACCATGCAGGAAGTTGACAGTGTATTTCACCTTGAACTCAAAACCAAATAACTCAAATAAACCTTTGGTTCAAAACATTTTGAATTGTTGTTCTTGCTTTTATCTTCAGAAGAGATATTTGTTCAATTTCCTTACTGCTATATTCCTACCCTTGTCCTCTAATTGTCTGTCACTGCAGATATAAAACAAATCTGAAAAAATAATATATGGCTTGTCCAGACCTTTGAAACGCTGAATTCATGTCGATCAAACACAATATTGGCGCTTTTGATGTCCTAAAAAGCAGACATTGAATGGCAGTTAATTTTACATAAAATTCTGTAAAAAAAAAAGGGCTTAAAAATATTCTACACTTTTATGTTAGTTTTTAACAAATAATTCTATTTTATATTTATGGTTTCTGATTATATTATAGAATACCAATGAAAGTTAATGTTAAAGAGCAATAATAAATAAAATCAATAATAAAAGACCTTCAGTTATTTTGTGGAACCCCTTACACCTTCAATTTGCCGACGACAGTCTTTCTCTATCAGGTCAAAACCTGCGAATCCTTTCAATGCGCTGCGGAATCCTCGGCATGCTTTTATCATCAGAATAATGTTCACAATGAGCCTGCGAAAATTCTTGGGGGGGGGGGGGGAGGCAATACATTGGCCACATATTAAACATTTGTCATCTGTTATCACCATAAATGGAGATAAATAATACATAAATGCAGAGTGCCTTAGGCATGTTAACCCACTGTCCTCTCTAATACATGTTTGATTCTTGGAGACAAGTAAACAAAGTATCTGGTAGTGAGATTTACAAGAGCAGCTAAAACAGATTACTGTGTGGAGGAGTTTTTCCTTTAGTACAATGGCTCCACTTTCTAAAAAGCTGATCATTTTATCCATCTCTTCCCTCTCTTCAGCATTACATATGGCTACAGAGAAAATCCTTAGAATAAACAATACAGGTAGTCCTCAACTTATGACAATTGAGACCAAACATTTATGTTGCTAAATGAGAAATCTGTGAAGTGAGTTTTGTCCCATTTTATAACTTTTCTTGCCACATTTGTTAAGTGAAGCACTGCAGTTGTTAAATTAGTAACACGGTTGGTTGTTAAAGTGAATCTGTTTTCCCCATTGACTTTGCTTGTCAGAAAGTTGCAAAAGGGGATCGCATGACCCCGGGACACTGCAACTATCATAAATGTGAGTCAGATGTCAAACATCCTAATGTAAATCATGTGACCATGGGGGTGCTGCAGTGGTCATAAATGGGAAAAATGGTCATAAGTCACTTTCTACTCTAAGCATGCAGGTATACAAATATGGGACAAGGTACCAAGACAACATGTAGAGCTAATCTCAGGTGTCCCAATATTTTTCACATTCTAGAAATCTGCTGTGGAAAAAAATTAACCTCCTCAGAATTGTTTAGGGAGGTGTTAGAGAAAGGACAGGAAACAGGATAAAGGACATCACTGATTATGAAGTCATCCCAAATGTCTAAAAAAATATTCACTTATAAAACAAAACAAAACATGGTGGATCATTTGTTCATATCTATAAAGAATTATAGCGTGTTGGGTAAACCGACACACAAAGTCATAAAACTATGTTTGAACTAACACATAAAACAAAATAAAGGCATTATTGCAAGTGTGAATGCAAACCTAACCTATACATATATCTTTACATTCTCCCCTCACTTAGTAATGCATCTGTTTTCATTATCACTGGCTATTGATTATGTTAATGTTGATACCTTTCCTTGTTCAAAAAAATCAAAATATGTACATAGGAGAAGTAGCATACCTTAATTCCCCTTTTGTAGTTAACCAATTTGTCCCTGTAACCTGTAAAAGAAAATGGCTATGGGCTTTATTTTTCTTTAATACATTTTCCATCAGCTGAAATTCTCCCATTTTCTTTGTACTGAAAACATCTGTATGCACACAGAGATGAACATTTCTTGCTATCTAGAACAGTGGTTGCCAACCGGTGGGCCGCAGCAAAATTTTGGTGATCCGCAGAGAAATGGCAGAGAAATAGCCCCTGAAAGCAATTAATCCGGGCCACATGGGAAAACAAGGCTGCTCCGCCCACATGGCCCGCCCACCCGCTGACCCCCACCCTTTGGCCGAGCACAAACCTTACCTTGAGACTGAGTGGAGAGTCACGTGAGCTGGAATTGGAAGGTAAGACCAATGGCAGGGGAGGAAAATCCGCCCTGAGGTGGCTTGCTAATGTTGGTGGGAAAGTTGGTCCCATATTCCAGAGCTGTAGTAGTCACAGGACAGGCCCTTTGGTCACCCCGGAGCAGTTCCTCCATCGGGATGACTACAGCTCTGAAATATGGGACTGGCCCCTGGTGGCTGGAATGAAGTAATGGTTCTGTTGTGGCAGGGAGTGCAGCACAAGCGGGCTGAAGTGGCAGTGGCTGGAAGAAGCAGTACTCACATTTGCATCTCCCTTCACTGCGGTATATTTGCGGCAGCTGGGGCGCCAAGGCAGCCCCTTGTGTCCTGCCGCATCTGTAGTGCAGCAGAGAAAAGCAGCCGGAGCTAACCCTAGCTCTGCATATGCTAAATTGCCCCCCTGCAAACTATTGTCTCTGTAGCTGAAGCAGCGTGGGAAACTTCAGCTGGATTCTCGAGAGACGAGAGTGACTCCGGCTGCTTCTCTCATCTCTCTCAAGGAGCGCCCGACAGCTTAGCTGGAGGGGGAACCTCTCTGATCCCTCCACAGGCTCTCCGAGGTGGGCAGCAGGGAAGTGGCATTTGGAAGAAGCAGATTGCCACTGCCAGGCTCCAGGGTTTCTCTCCCACTGAGGTTGCAGCAATCGGGCGGGGACAAAACGGTGCCCGGCTCCCCTCCTGGGGCAGGAAAGGTAAGGAACAGCAGAAGCGGCAGATGGAGGGCTGATGGAGGAAAGCAACTCTCCTCTGGGAGGGTGAAGGTGTCAACTTCCCCCCCTTTCCTTGCCTGCTTCCAGGTGAGGCTGGAAGAGCACTGGCATCCCTGTCCTGGAGTCCCCACTTTCTCCCCCTCCCCTCCCCCTAATTAATCACAGAGGGTGGCAGTCCTTCTGCAGGCAGCTGCCTGCTGAGAAGCCCCTGGAGGGGCGGCCGAGGGGCGCTGCCCCCCAAGGAGAGCAAAGCCCCCTTTCTGTCTCTGCTTCTCCCAGCAGCAGTTGCCTCAAGGCCCCTCAGCTCAGACACCCACCCCTTGCTCTTCTGTCTCTTTGGAAGGTGCAGGTGGGGGAGGGATGGAAGCATCCCAGGCAGCCACAGTTATAATTAAATAAGTTATGCATGTATGTATGTATGTATGTATGTGTGTGTACATACATATATATATATATGTTTGTGTGTGTGTGTATACACACATATATACATACGCATACACACACATAATTTTTAATATTAAATTTATATTTAATATAAAAAATTAAAAGTTTTATATTAAATATATTATCATTTTTTTTAAACAAAATTTATTAATTTTAAAGACAAACAAAACATCATTAAACATTGAACACATAAAACCTCTTTCCAGTATAAATTTTTACAAGGCAGATAAAACATTGTTTTATACAACATAATTCTAATCTATCCCATTTCCATATGGACACATAAATATCTTTTAGCAAATTTCTCATTATTTCTCTTTACTCTTATTCAATTACATTTCTTTTTTATATTTATTCATTTTATAGTCATCATATTCATATTTCCCTCTGACTTGTTTACAATTATTCTCATCTGACATTCCTCCAAGGTTTTATTAATTCTCAAACGAACATAAACACACAAAACACAAAAACATAAAACTTCTTTTTAGAAAGTGGCTTGGCCCCGGATTACCTCTCTTTATACGGACTTCAATTAAATTCATGCTCATCTTATATACCATTACCTATCTTATTTACCATTCTATATCTTCTATATAACTTCTCCCTGCTTTTCACTCTTCTTAATTCTATTTTATTTATTTCATCTTAGTTTAAATCATTATACTTGTATCTTCTGTCCATTCTTTTCCAATTATCCATTTATCTCATTCCCTATATATATATATATATAAAAAGATTTCTCCTGGAATCACTAATCGAAGTATGATGCCTTTCTATCGTTCCCCTAAATTAACATTAAAATAACACCTAGTTCCCAATCTGATTCTGCTTAGTACATTCTACCTACTAAATTTTAAGAAAAAGAGAAAATAGTAAATCTATAAAATATTTAACTACATAATTAAATATTGAATCTTGTAACATTCCAATTATCTATTTCAAAGACAAATGCTGCAATAAGTTTATAATAACATCAACACAATAGTCAATTAAACTCTATAATTAAACTAAATATTTTAGACATTCCCTTTAATATTTTATTAAATCTTAAAATCTATCATTATTAAGCATTTTAATATTTTAATCTTTTTTTAGATCTTATAAAATTCTAATTTTCTATCTCTAATACAAATACTACAATACTATCTTATGTACCTTGCAGAATCTTTTTTTTTTTTAATAAAAATTATACATTACCCTTTATCCCTAAATTTTTTTTTGCTTTTTCCCATCTTGTTTCATACCTTTGTGGCTTTTTTCCCCCTTTTCCCTTCCTTTCTTATCCCACCTGGCCTTTTTACACCCCCCCTCTCCTAACCTCCGCCTTTTTAGCTTCCCCTCTCTGTTGTAGTCCTCTTTTCTTTTGCTTTCTAGCATTGTACTGATTTTGCATCTTATTTTTCTCTTTCTTGGGTGTTTTTTTGGGTCTTAAGTCCTTCATTTTCCTTCCTCTCTTTCTCCTTTCTTTCATAATCAAACTTTTGGATTCATTAAAGATGGCTTCTTCTTCTTCTTCTTCTTCTTCTTCTTCTTCTTCTTCTTCTTCT